GCTAAAAAACTACAGACCTGTTACATGAAATATATACATTTTTGCAACAGTGACCTTGAATTGTTGGAATGACCTTGAATTTAGGTCAAGACACACCCTTAAATCATAAGCAATCTTTGGAGAACAAGTATGAGCTTCCACAGATTCTCTATTAGCCCAGGCAAGACTTTTACACTCTTTTTCTGCCAGTGACCTTGCAAGAATGACCTTGAATGAAATTAATCATATAGTATTGGTAATAACCAACCCTGATCTAAAGATGAGCTTCCAATGATTTTGTGGAAGTTTTATTCTTTTTTGCCAGTGACATTGAATATGTAGGAATGACCTTGGATCAAAGTCACGGCACATGGTTGGGCCATAAGCAATCTTTGAACCATGTATGACCTTCCAGTATTTCTCCGTAACAAAGTTTTGCCTTAACAAAATTTAACGGATGGACTGATCAATGGATAGATGAAATGACAGACAAACCCTCCCCAAACCTTAATTTGTTTGCTGGTGGGGGGGGGGTTACAATAATAATTTTATGTTTTATCAGAAAAAGGAACATTTAACATACCAATAATAGATAGTCTCATGTGCAATACACACTCTTGTGAGCATATAAAATTATCAATATCTGACTATCTGATAATAAAACCATTAGCCCTGACTCCCTCCTCCCAGCTCAAATTTCATTTTCCATCAGACATCCATCTTTTGATCTCTATGCAGCATGTGTTAATCAGCGTATAATCAACAAAAAACTAATTGTATGAGAAACCAAAGACAATTCATTACTGCCTGGATGGGCAAATTTAATTACTTTCTTTGATGCTGCTGCACTCACTCTCTCTAGCTGGAAAAATAATTAATATATTTTTCAAGAAACAGAATAATTATTGACCAAGAGTCTGTTTAGACCTCTTGACACAGAAGAGTTCCCCTGACCTGTTTGACCTTCCCTCTCCAGTCAACTCATCAATGTAATCCTGCTTCAGTTCATCTGGTACATCTGAATCACTATCACTTAAGTTACCATTATCTTCATCGTCCTACAGAATAAAAAGCAGATTTTAAGGTTCATTGATACTCTGATAAAAGAGATAACTCTTCATGACACAAATGTCTATTATTTCTAATATTTATAAATATGTCAAGTTGAAGTGCCTATTTTGTCAAATTTAGCCCCGCAAGCCATGATAAAATTGTTAGTATTTTATTCAGCATATACTTTTCTTTTGGAAAATCATAAAAGTTAATGAAACATTTTATATGAGTAAGCAGAGGGTTTATGTACCTTAATTATTCTTGTCAGTTAGCTGCTTCTTATCTAGCAAAATCAATTTGTTTTCATAGGTTTTAAGTAAACATGTAACCTTATATTGTTAATGTCATTGATTGATGGTATATGTTGACACTAGCAATATTCATTTCAGGCAGCTCAATTACTTAGTACATTAATAATACTGATATGTCACCCCTGTAAATGTTAACACGTTTACTAATCATGTTTACTAATTAAAAGGTAAACATGGGAGCCTATTCTCAATTTAAAATCTTAGATCTTAAGAGCTTTGGAGCAGATCTGGAAAGAATCCTATAATTGAAATTGAGGAAAAATCTAAATAATTTAGATACTTTTCATCTCAAGGATTTTCTTTTAGTAAACATTAAACAAGACCAGACTGCATGGGTGAAAAATCATAGGAAAAAACACAGACTTTAATTGAAATTCTTATTTTACCTTGACCTTAAGTGCATAGTCTTTCATTTTTTTTTTTGGTGAGTAGAGTCAAAGTAAAAAATTGACCATGTGGGTGGATATGATGTTCAAAGAAAAATAATGCCCTTCTTTGTTGACCTTGACCTCTTGAGCAAAACCTGCTAGAAGGGTCAATGTGCTTCTTTAATCTATACACTGTACAGTTTTAAAAGTGCCAGGGAGCTGGAGATAATTTTTTTTCTTTACTACAAACATTTAAACAAGGAACTGATTTTTTACCCATGATCCAGAGAAGAAATCCTCATTTTCATCTTCATCTGGCTTTTCATCAAAAGGATTCCTTTCCTCTTCCTGCGTGAAGTACCGCCTCTTGGGTGGTGCCAATACCCCCTCCTCTGATGGGTCAGTTGTGGTGCTGGAATTCAGTGACACATTTGGGGATTTCATCCATGATTTCATAAAGCGGAATTCCTGTAAATACAAATAAATGTTGTGAAGTAGAAGGACACATGGTGGCAAATTTTTGCAATGGAATATTTTTGACAGAAAAAGGCCCATGGGCCACAGTATTCAATAAAGACAACATTCTCTGTATTTATAGCCCTGGCTGCTTGGGGGCAAAGGGAGGTGGCATGATATGAGCAAGCTAGGAATGTATGTCTATAAAAGTATGTACCCACTACTGTTAGGTTTTTTTTTTTGCAACCCCCCCCCAAATTTGCCAATATAGAATACTACAGAATTACCTTTACTCAAGATGAGTTCTTGCAATTAAGTTTGTTTGGAATTGGTCAAGCTTTTCTAGGGAAGAATATGGACATATAAAAGGTTTACAAATGTTGCAGTTGACTACAAATTTCAATCAGAAAAGCTCTCTTAGGCCTTTGGCTCAGGTGAGCTAAAATTTTTACACTTGAATCAATAACTACCAAGATAATGCTGATACACATTTCAAGCAATTACGTACATAGCAGAACTGTTTGGGTGTTGTAATATCATGCTACAGAGATATCCTATGGTATATTATAATATATACTAGTTAGATATTGGTGCATCAATGAGTATCAAACACATACTAAAAGAGCTTACAATTTTATAAATTAACATCATGCCCTATGTTTATGACAACTTAATTTAAAATTACATATACATAAGGTTGACACTGCACAAAACTCTATTAACAATTAGCAATATTATACTTTCATATAAATTAGTGGAATCTGATTGGTCGAGAAACGTTTGTTGAAAAATACTATTACCCGCTGAATAATAAAACCACGCCCTCCAACGTAGCAACAGTCAATATTGCTTGACGACGGGTGGTATTCCAAAAAATACCGACTGCGCAGAATTTATGCGCGCACGGTTCACTGTTATATGTATTTGTATAAAACATTCAGTATAATATAATAAATATTGCATGTAGTTGAGTGTAACATTAATTCTATGGAAATTCAACCTCGGCTGCACCTCGGTTGACAATAGTTTTCTTGGGGTGAAAATTTTCAATGTTACACTCAGCTACATGCAATATTTATATTATCTTTTTTTTTCTTTTCTTGGCATTCAACTATACTGAACTCATATTTTAAATATTGCAGTTATAACCCCCCCCCCTTCATAAAACATCGAAAAGTTTTTATAATTCTATGGAAATTATGTATTTTGAGAGTAGATAGACTGAAATAACACTCTCAAGAATTTCTGGCAAGTTTGAGGGGTACAGATGCAATTAAACTATGGTCCCCTTATTTTGCTGAGATAAACAGAATATGCTGAATACCAAGCTGCAATACTAATTTTAAGGAAATGTGTCAAATCTTTGGTCTTAAAATTGGGTTTTCAGCAATCAAGAATAGAAAATCTGAGCTTCTTTAATTTCCTTTTGCTGATGAAAAAGAGTAGCTTTAATTGTCATGACTCCAAAATACTTTCCCACTCCAAAAAGTTTAATGTTCTAAATATAGTTCTAAAAATTGTCAAAGTCACTTTAAATATTAGAGTATAATTTTAACTACTTGAGTATTTCTCCTTTCAGTGCATTGTCCTTCATAATTTAATCCTCTAAATTTTCTGAATAAAAAATGGACAGACCCAGGCATAAGGTAATCCTATGGAAAATGTCAATACGAATTTAAAATGGGAAAATTATTTTTTCTATGAACACTTTCATCCCCATCCCCTTTTAAACTTTCTGGGCAATTGAACTATGTGGGAGGTACTTTTTTCTTTTGGATCATTTTGTCATTCTTCAAATTCTTTTTTATTTCCTTGACATCCTGAGTTCATTTTTGAAGTTTAATAAAAAAAAAGTGCATTATAACGCGAAACTCTGGCGAACATGCGCGAAATTTTTGCAATATAACGTAAATAATTGGAAAAGTTTCGCGATATAATGCAGAACTTGCGCGTATAAATGTAAAACTTACGCATAATAACGCAAAATATTGTAAATAAATGCAAAACGTTCGCATTATAATGCATATACAAAACTTTCGCGTTTTTATACGAAATTTTTGCAACGTGACGCAAATGGGCATATCATACGATGTGGTGAAATTTAATGCATTTTCCGATACTTTTATTGCTTCTTTTCCAGGAGGCTTTTATTTGTTCAAGATAAAAATGGCCATAGAATTTAAAAAAAATTCAAGACGATGTGATCATTAATTGTATCCCTCTTTCTCTGTATTTTCACAGAAGACAAACTTCCTTCTTGCAAATAAAAAGTGTCCTGGGTTATGGTAAAATAAATATTGAAGAGGTTCAATGTTTAAGAAAACAATAAATCGTCAGTTTTGTACACTTAACCAGATTACTGCATTTTATTAATGTATTTAGCAGGAAGACAGCACATTTACTTCTAATTGTTTAACTAAAAACGGGGAGGGGGGGGGGGCAATCCGATTTATCGGAACTAAATCATGCTGAATACGACTTACATGCGACTTACAACTATAAAAAATATTTCAACGTTTCTTATCAAACATAAAAACCTCAAGGGGTATTATACAGACAGGAAAAGGTTGCCTCAATATTGTCAATTCGTCAATTTTTGCCACTAGCAGTAAACACATCATACGACTCGTGTCGCAGAATATATAATTGATACAGACAAGTTGATCAATTTTTTTGTGGAAACCAAGAAAACCACGCCGACACTACACAGCAAATCAAACTTGTGTGGTCCAATTTTTTTTTCTATCGATCTCAAATCTACGATTTACGCGAAGCCAGTCTTGGGAATGATAGAGTGTTCGCTATATTGTGTTACAATCCCAGATAAATCGGGTTTTAAACGCGATCAATGATCTCGAAAAAAAACTGAAGATGTAACATAAATTTCACAATTAGTCGTTGCTATTGCGGAATACTAATCTCTACTTTTCCTGTGTGGTACAGTATATACATGCTGTACGTGATTCATGCGCCGTTTCCGTCGTTCTGAGTTGTATCTTCCGCCTCGCCGACCTTTCCACATTGAGCCGTGGTGAGAAGTGTTCAGGTTGGGTTTCTACGAACAGGGATCGAAAACGTATGTATTCGTATTTCATTAGTTTAAAAAAAAAATACAAGCTTTGTTCTCTCCTTTCTTATTAATTTGCAAAGTGTATGTAATTTTTCGATTTGTACCAGGACCCAGTGTACGTCAGTATTTATAGACGTAAGTACTTGACGATGTTTATAAGTACACCATATGAAGTTTGTGTCTTTGTTTAAAGGAACATAGTTAACAAGTGGTTTATTCAACACTCGCATCAAAGCTAACCTATTTATTGTATAACTGCACATGTTTGCAAAACAAAAATCAATATAACTAATAATTAACGTTTTCTGAGTCGTCTTTTTATTCACTAGTAATTAAACTGGTAAAAGACTGATTTAAAAGTAGACCAGTTTATCTCGAATATCGAAAAAAAAAAATCAAAGAAAACAATTAAGGTTGTTGGGAAATTCATACAACGGAAGCCTCTTAAAACACACGTCCAGTGACCGTATTATTTTTTTTTTCAGCATCACTATGGCGGGATTATCAGTAACAGTCATCTTGCTAGGTTTGCTCAACTCTGTGTTTTCGCAAAGAATGTGTGAGTATAAAAATAACGTTGTTTACATCACTCCAAAGAGTGTGTGTATGTTGTGTGCTTTGAATTCAAGTTCCATCTAGAATTAAACGGGAGATAACTCTCATAAAAAAATCGCCAAACAATTGAAGGAATCTCTTACATTATAATACAGAAAAAAAAGATATCTATATAGTTTTACTTTAAATATAATTTAACAAGAATTGGTTGCAAGCTCCTTTGAATTGATTTGAGCATTTTAAAGCTAGTTCTTACTGGATACATACAGCAAAAATTTCATACAGAGAAAATGAATCAATACCAATTGAAGAACTGAATGACTAATGAGCAAACATAATTACTGTATAAAGCAAAGCAGTGCTGCAGGTTTTGTTTTTTGAAATCATTAGAAAATAATTGATCTAATGAGACTGAAGTATGAATATATCAATACATGTATTTATTCTGCAATGCTTATGTGATATCAACTACAGATTCATTAAAAGCATATCTATTTTCACATCTCTTTTTTCATCAGAATTTGCATGACAAGAGAAAAAGATATAATGGAAAAGCATATGCCATCCTAAAATGAAATAAATTTTAAACTGTCTTCTTTTTTTTTGAGTTTTTGTATTTATAATATTAGCATATTATTTTGTACTTGATAAACATAGTAAAAGCATTCAAATGATGTGAAATGGGGGGTTGTTAAAATACAGTTTTTACCAACTACATATTTTCTGACATATTTTCAGTCTATATCATCGGAACTGCTGGAAATGAGAATAACACTTGTGGAGACAGCTTTACACTGGCGCCACGATCCACAGAAAATGTCACTCTGGTGGCCAATGGACGACTACCTCGGGGATTCTGTGAAGTCACAGTCGGAATCAACAACTCACAACGATGTAAACGACAAATCTGTATCCAAGGAGCTGGGACTTTAGACAACATGGGTATTATTTTCCAATTTACCCCCATTCCAGGCTCATTGACTGAGGTACATGTATACTAAGTTTTCTTTAATACCAATAAGCAGAATTTTTAACAAGGATTTAATTTTGGCTTTATTAGCGATGGTGCCGAGATTGCTAAAATTGAATATCTCTAAAAATTAATTGCCATTTAGTTGTAATGGCTTCTTTATTGAGCTTTTTAATATAACTAATATTACTCCTCACTAAAAATAACATACCCATTATTAAGGACAAATCAGTAATTTTGCGTCTTGCTAATTTTTCACTCATACGGTATATTCTTAATCTGCATGGTTATTCTTAATTATAAATTGATAAAAAAAATTTCTTCTTTCTTCAAAAACCACCTGCTTAAAAAACCTGTAGAGACTCTGGTTTACATTTCAAAGGATTTTGCTGATTAAGGAAAGGTTTTAAACAGTCTTTAAAAAGTTTTGTAAAATACCTTTCATGATTTTCATCATACAACTTGTTTGCAAGGTCTATAAGTGTACATGAATATATATTGCTAGAATCAATTCCAAAATTAAAATTCTGGATGTTCCTTTAAAGATATGCATTAATTCTTATTTATTTACATAAAAAAAACAAATCTACCCTTGTTTAATTAATTATTTTTTTCTTCTGTCATTTATTTACAAATCAAACAAGTTTTAAATGCAATGACTTTATAAAAGCCCACAATGTAAATTTATGGATTTGTTTTTTGTTTATTGAGAGAGAGAGAAAGAGAGAGAGAGAGAGAGAGAGAGAGACTGATTATTACCCGTTTTACCTGAGATAAATACTGGCACTCAACTCAACACTTTATCCATCATCACAAACCACGGCCAAAATGTATGATGCTTTCCCATTCTGGTAGGAGAAAGCTATAAGCAGACTCTGAATCGTGGCTTTATCCAAGTTCAAAGATGTGTTTTAATATGACTTACATTGTATAAGTAGGCTGTGCATTGAAGATGATTCATCCTGTACTGTAACCATTGTAGTTTTGTACTTTTAGCAATCTCCAACAAAGTCCTTTAAATTAAGATTGCATTATTCCCTTTTATGTTTTTACTAGTATCGAGGCCCATCCTACACAGAACTAGAGAGGGAACGCTGCTTTGATGCCTACTCGCTATTTATAAACATATCAGAACCAGCCTCTGTTGGCCATGACTTTAACTTTCAGCTCTTCCTGCATCCATCTTGTAATGACAGCAACAATGGTGATCAGATAGCCTTGTCTAATGCAGGTATTTCTTCCCATTTGTCTTTGTGGGTTGGGTTAATATTATCAAAGAGTAATTAAATGGATAATTGTAGTTTAGAAATGGAACTAAAAACTAAATTATTAATAGACTTTATTAGTCTGTTCAAAGTGACAATTAAAAAAAAAAGGTTTATTTTTTAAGACAGAATTTCAGTCATTAATAAGAGCAAAGGTAAAAAGTAAAATAAAATTGATGAAATAAACATGAAAGGTATTTGGAAGGCTGTTTTGCCAATTATTACATTTATCATTTGCCGCTTACTGCTTTAACTGTGCACACTGTTACTGTATCTGTATATTTCAGCAAATGAATTATTGGAAGAAGGTGGGGGTACACACTAGATACATATGTATGCCAAATACCCCATTGAATATTCATTCATTTTAAAATTGTTACTTAAATGTATCGATACTTTTATCATTTATTCTTTTGATATTTTCTATTTTTAATTCAATTAAATTAAGTCAGGAAAATTAAAAGCTACTATGATTTATAATTGTAATAAAAATGGATTATGCAATTAAAAATGTTAATTGCATTTGTAAATATTCCTTAGATGAATTAAACATTTTATCTTGTCACAATAAGAACATACAAATCTGACACAGGTCCAGTTACTGCACATGGTTATTGGTCCTGTAGACCTAAGAGTAAAAATGTTATGCTGCAAACATTAGTAGAAAATAAAATATTTCCACAATTTCTATAATCTTGTATTGTTCCAAGTTTCAAAAAAGGGGAATGACTCAATTTTACAGAAAAAGGGGAATAACTCAATTTCTATTTTTCATATGTTACAGAAAGATTTACTGAAAGTTGTCAAATTAGCATGTTTTCTCTATATTGTGATACATCAATAAATTTCTGAGCTCTATATTCACTGTGTGTGATACATCAAAGTCATGTAACAAAAATTCTGGACCTTTTATTCACTGTGTCAAATTTTCTTCATTTCATGACAATACATGTACATAAAATCAATATCTAAAAAAATACCTTCACATTTTAAACCTTTTCCCATATGAATCTAATGCTTTTGTTGTTAATGAAACTCAAAGCTAAGAATTTGTAATTTTTTGGCTATAAATATATCTCAATAACACAGGGGGTTAAGTGTGAACTTCATTAGTGACGTTGCCCTTTTCTTTTTTTTTTTTTTTACAGATAGCCGTGCTTTAGATACATTGGCCGAATTAGAGCGCGCATGGACACTGACCACAGTATACGGAGCGGTAACGGGAGTGTGTCTAGCTTTCTTCTTTCTTATCATTCTCTTCATCACCTACTGCTACTACAGATCTTATCCCTACGGCAACAAGAAACGGGAAAAACAGAAAACTGGTGAGAGAAACTTAACAACAGTCTTTTTAGGTGATAAATGATAGAAGTGTTTTCATGAAATACTTCATCAATAGGAATCCTAATTTGTGTGTTTAGCCTTCAGGTAATATCATAAATTGTAATTTTAGCTCTTGTCTAAGGAAATGTCTAAATATTACGATATCCCATTTCAAACTCGATTTCAATCTTCATTGGGGTAAAATTTTCTCATTGTCTGATCATCAAAAGAAAATTTCTAATACATCAAGATTTACTATATGCTTAACTGTATTGAAAAAAAAAATCATCTTTGTTCTTTTTTTACTTGTAGCTAGCAAAAAAGAGGGAGCTACACCACAGAAAAATAAGGGAAGAGAAATGGAGGAAATGAAACTACTGGAGCCTAAGGATGCTGTGGGGGATTCCTCAGGCCTGGGCTTAAATGAAAATGATGTCATAGACCTGGAGGAGGGCACCAGTCAAAATAAGGAGGAACCAAAAAAGGAAGTAGAGGACACCTTAACAACGGAGAAGGAAACTGAGAAGGTGGAGGAAAACGAAGAAAAAAATGTAGAAAAGAAAATGGGAAATGACTTTGTTAATGTGGATCTGGAAACACCAGGGGCTGACGAGTCTCAGAAGCCTGCTTCATTAGACTCAGATTAATTAAAAATTAACATTAAATAATTAGGTTAAACAATTCCTTTTTGCAGCATGTGAAATAATTGTATTTAATAGACATGTGACCCAGTGTCTGTAAGCGTATAAAAGTAAGCATCTAGATTTAAAAATTGACTAGAGTGTCAGAATATCTGTTGTTGTGATTGTACTTGTAAACCATATGTGTAAATGTTGATTTGTGAAATAGAAAAAGAATGAATTTTTGGAAGAAATGATAAATACAGTGTTGAACTGGAATATTCTTGATTCTTTACAGAAAGGACACATGAAGAAGGCAATAAATATTGGATTTTTATATTAATGGTATAAGCATCCATATCAGATGGCATGCAGAGGTCTATTTTTAATGTAGATACATCATTTCTAACCTGAATGAGTGGCAATTTATCACCCTGATAACACAAGGAAAGGAATTTATTTATTTTCTTTTTTTAAATTGACTGTACATAAATTTGATAACAAAAGTAGTTCCTGGACAGTTGCTTGCTTTTTATCATGATATGGCTATAAAGATTTAATTCTATGGTTCTCAAGCTAATTTTCTACAAAACAGATGAAGGAAGGAGGTTTTTTCTTTATCAATATATTCATGAATCACAATAAAATAGATGTGGGGTGTTTTTTTAATCTCAAATTTTCTATGAAATAATGAAAAAAATTCTCTGTTCATAGATACACATATGCTTTCCATGTCTGATCAATAGGTTTGCATTGTTCATTGCTTACCAACCTATGAACTGCATAGGAATGATCTTTGAATAAATTTTAAACAAAAGACAGGAAAGGTAGCCAAGTCTCTTTGAAATGACTACTGAAAACGATTTATGAGTACTAAACTACGAGAAAATGAGGGCAGATCTTCTTTCCCAGATTGGTCTTCACATTACCAACTTTAATTTATTAAAATACGATAAAAAATTGGAATGTGGCTACCTGAAATTGGGTATGTGTGGGCCTGAGAATTGTAATTTCAATTTTATGTGGCCTATATATGTTGTGAAAATATTTCATTTTCTTATAGGATTAACTAGAAATATGTCCATAGGACGTGAATGCCCCGCCGAGGGTATATTAGTAAAGCAACATGAAAATTTGTATTAGTGAATAAAATTTGATCAGAATATCTTGAATAGTGATGCAGTTGAATTGCTTACATTAGTATGTATCAGCTTAAGACGTTTGACACTAATTTAGGAAAAGTGAGGTCAAGGTCAAAGCAAAGGTTAACGTCAAAACTTGATGCAGTTGCATATCTCTCATCAATATGTATCAGCATATGAAGTTCAATAAAAATATCTAGAAATGATGTCATTAATTAAAACTGAATTAAACACAATTTAATAAAAGTGAGTTCAAGGTCAAATAAAAGGTCAAGGTCAAAATTGTTGATGCAGTTGAATTGCTTACATCAGTATGTATCAGCATATGAAGTTTGACACTGATATAGGATGGTGAGGTCAAAGGTCAAAGGAAAGCTCAAGGTCAAAAATGTTGATGCAGTTGAATTGCTCTCATCAATGTGTAACAGCATATGAAGTTTGATTAAAATTGAATGGTATCTTTAAAACTGAGAGAAACATTAATTAAAGATAAGTGAGGTCAAGGTCAAAGGAAGGTCAAGGTAAAAAATGTTGATGTAGTTGAATAGCTCTCATCAGTATGTATTAACATGTGAAGTTTGATAACACCATCTTGAATGGTATGTTTAAAACTGAGCTAAACACTAATTTAAGAAAAGTGAGGCCAAGGTCAAAGGAAAGGTCAAGGTCAAAAAATGGTGATGCTGTTGCATAGCTCTCATCAATATCTATCAGCAAATGAAGTTTGATGAAAATATCTTGGATAATTTCTTTGAAACTTAGCTTTGAACAGAGCTAAATGCAAAGTGTGACGGAAAGACAGACGGAAGGACGGAAGACGGACATGACAAACACTATATGCCCCGGCAATATTCATGGCGGGGCATAATAAAATCTTATGACCTCTATGGAGTCTATCGACTTTGATATAAACTCAGATATAAATACGACTGGAAACAACAGAGGTGGTGTCCTATCAGTTAAAGCCAAAATTTTTACCATCCATCGATTGTCTAAATTTGATAATTTCAAATCTTTATTAAAGAAAGTGAAAGTAGCCTTTCCTTACCAGTAAGTGGACAAAAGAAAACGAGGTTTTAACTGGACACAACTCCCAGCCCTCATTCTCCAGGAACATTCGGAGCTCCTCCATCCTGTATCTATAAATAGGAATGATGAAATGTCAGTCACTTTGATAAAATGGATTTAAATGTTTTACTGATAAAAAATACCTCTTTTTATGCCTATTGGTAACAAGAGGCCCATGGGCCTTATAGGTCACCTGAGCATTATGCAACAACTTTCCAGTGATTTAATTTGATTCATGTTTTAAGCCAGATGCTATGGCGTTCACAATTTTGAAAGAGGCACCATTGATCATCATAACAATACACTTAGCAGTTGCTTAGTTTGTTTACTTAATACCCATAGGCAGGGTGGGGGTACAAAAAATGTATTTCAAGTAATCAGTAATATTCAGCAATAATCAGTAATGCCCCTATCACACATGAACCCCTGACCCTTAGGCCTAGATCCACACATTGCACAATTTTTGAAAAGGCACCCTTGCTTTTCAAAAATATTTGATTAATACCAAGGAGTAGATCTCAAACAATTCATCCAGTTTCAGTATATAAGTACACCCCCCCCCCATAGTACCCCTGACCCTCGGGCCTTGAAATTCACAATTCTGGAAGATTAGGGTCCTTGCTCATCATAACTACATAGGTAGTTCATCTGCTTAATACCCAAGAGCAGAGAAGAAAATTTTCAAAGATTTAATGTATTTTCACTATATAATCAATAGAGCCCCGCCCTATCACTAGAACCCCTGACCCTAGGGCCATAAAATCAAAATTTGGAAGAGGTATTCTTGCTCATCATAACTATGTACTTAGTTTATTTAATTCCTAGGAGCAGAAAAGAAATTTTTTCAAAGAATTCATGTATTTTCATTATATAATCAATAGAGCCCCGCCCTAACTCCCGAACCCTGACCCTGGGGCCATAAAATTCACAATTTTGGTAGAGGCACTCTTGCACATCATAACTATGCACTTAATTAGTTTATTTAATACCCAGGAGCAGAGAAGAAGATTTTCAAAGAATTCATGAATTTTCACTATATAATCTATAGAGCCCCGCCCTAACACCAGAACTCCTGACCCTGGGGCCATAAAATTCACAATTTTGGTAGAGGCACTCTTGCTCATCATAACTATGCACTTAGTTAGTTTATTTAATACCCAGGAGCAGAGAAGAAGATTTTCAAAGAAATAATGCATTTTCACTATATACTTATTTAGCCCCGCCCTAGCAATAGAACCCCTGACCCCAGGGCCATGAATTTCACAATTTTGGTAGAGGACTCAATGCTGATTACAATCATGCAAACAGTTTGACTGCTTAATGTCCAGGAGTAAAGAAGAAGATTTTTAAAGATTGCACTAATTTTAGTGGTTTTTGCCCCACCCCCCAGGCCCCAGGGGGGCAGAGAACATGAAATTCACAATTTTTGTTCCCCTTCACCCATAGATGCTTTGTGCCAAATTTAGTTGAAATTGGTTCAGTGGTTGCAGGGAAGAAGCTGAAAATGTTCAAATGATAACGCACGACGGACGAAAACAGATAGCAATAGGTCACCTGAGTTTACTCAGGTGACCTAAAAATGGAAAATGCAATGCTAAGTATAAGTAAATCAAAAGTATTAAAACACTGGAATATCAATCAACAGGGTAACACAAGTATGTACAGAACTGCAAACAAAATAACTGTTCTGTCAGCTACTTCCAAATCAATTTTTCAAACTGAACATACCTGTACATGTATTTGAATGAATGGTCACATTTATTTAGATATTTATGCAAATTTTTACAGAACATAAGTTTGGGGAAAACAAAAGACAATATCTCCTTAATTTTGTCTAAACTTACATTTTTCACTATAAAAACCAACAGAAAACAAAAAATATACAAAACATCTTTCCCCTGATGAAAAAAAATTATGCATTGTCATAACAAATGACAGCAAAATATGTTGATGTTTCATGTTTGGCGGCTGGATGGAATAAAAGTGATGGAATGTACATTAAATTTTTCAATGTTGTATAGCCCCCTCCCTCTTCTATACTAAGAGATATAAGTAAAGACAATTAACTACACAGCATTGGTATTAAAATCCTGGGAAGATTCTGATGAACTGTACCTGTGGTGGTTCCTGAAGTAGTTTAAACTCTGTTGTTTTAGGGAATCCTGTAGTCCCTCTGACTTACTCTTACAAAATTCCTCCCCAATCTCTATCATCCTGGAAAAAATAAAATAAATACATTAAAAATATATACATGAATCATGTTCCATTAGAACTGTTTCAAAATTTAATGCTCTAACATATTCATGTGGCTTTAAAAAGTGGTATTTTTAGTTGGTTATAAATATTTGTACCTATATGTAATATAAATCATAAATCATTCACAAGAACTTTATTAATGGTGGTAAGTATGTGAGACTGTCTGGTCTGAAAATTGCATTCTTGAAAATTTTTTTTATTGCAAGAGATTATTTTCATAAATAAAAATAGACCAACTTTGTAAAAAATTTTGTCTTGCCAAATATCTTTCTCATGAAAACAAAGTGTCATAAAAATCTACAGTAGGGGAAACTTTGGACTTGCAAAAATATAAAGACATCAATCCTGATCCACACCTGTTGACTAGATCTAGGACACGGATGAACTCCTCCAGTTTGAATCCAGACAGATCCGTACCCAGGACAAAGATCTTGACTTTGGATTGGACATCTTGCCAGATCCGACTCAATCCATGCTCTAGTTTCTGTTTGATGTAATGCTGATTGAAGTCAGCCTGTGCTTTCTCATCTGCATGTATAAAATAAATAATCAGTTTCTGTTCCACTGTCCATTTTATCTTAATTTCACATATATGCATCTTCAAATATAACATAAGAATTCAAAATCCATAAAAATCTGAGGATAGATAGAGATTCTAATCTAAATCTTTACTTTTTTAATACATGATTTAAAATTAATTTGTTATCACTTATCATTGGTGGTCAATGTTCATGAACAACCAAAATTTTACTGAATTGTGAGAATGTGATTTTGTAATTAACTTCTCTTTACAAATAAATTCCAGATACTGCA